GTTAAAAGAATTAACTATGGGTGTTTATATATAACACAAACACAGAATAACAAAGACTATTAAAGTACTTAGATATGAACACAGTTCTAGAGAGTTCCAAAGGATGCTATTATGTTCACTCACTTGAAAGCAACAGGTAAGCCAATGTTTTGGGGAAAACATTTTCCATATGTTAAAAACATCATTCATAGCCCTAACCGGTTTGGCCTGCGGACTCAGGGGTCCCAGGTTCGATTCCGGTCAAGGGCATGTACCTTGGTTGCGGGCACATACCCAGTGGGGAGTGTGCAGAAGGCAGCTGATCGATGTTTCTCTCTCATCGATGTTTCTAACTCTCTACCCCTCTCCCTTCCTCTCTGTAAAGAATCAATAAAATGTATTTAAAAAACAAACAAAAAAAAACCATCATTCACTGATTTGCAAATTCTTACATTTGCAAAATTAAATGTTGCCTGATTAAAGTTCACAAATAATATAAAGAGAAAAGGTGAGAAAACTTCAACAGATCAAGAACCATAGTAGTCCAGTTCAAATTTACTACCAAGCTATTTTAGGAATAAAGATGTTGTGACTCTATACTACCGAAGAGGATCTCCAGAGGCAGGTACTGGCCAGTCTATTTGAAAAAGTTTCAGTTTATTTCAATTGTAAAACCAGAATTGATGACTACTACTGTAGACAATCTCATCTTTGCCCTGGCTTTATTTACCATCTGTCATCTCTCCCTAACTTACTACCAACACCCACTATTACTACTTCTGACCCTGGTGTCAAAACCCATTCTCTAAACAGCCAGAGTAACCTTTAAAATAATGCAAATTAGATCACCTCACTTCCCACTGCACTTACATAAACTTCTTACCCTGGAATATAAAGCCCTGCATTATCTGACCCCTGCCTCTCTTACCAAAGCTCAAACCATTCTTACCCTTACCTACTCTACTACTGCAACACTGGACTTTTTTCTTTTCTCCTAACACACCAGCATCTTTCCCATCTTAAGGTCTTTGCACTGGCAATTCCTTCAGTGTAGACCTTCCCTCTGATCATTACTTGGTTTGCTCCTCCTTATCACTTATATTTCAGTTTAATGTTCCTCCTCAAGGAAGTCTTTCTCCAATCAGCCTAGAATCATTTACTATCTCAAAACCATTTAAATATTTTCTAAATAGCACACATCACTATTGGAAACTAATTTACACACATCCTTACCTTTTTTATTTTTTATTTTTTTTTGTTAATCCTCTCCAGAGGATTTTTTCCATTGATTTTTCAGAGAGAGTAGAAGGGAGGGAAACAGAGAAGGGAGGGAGGGAGGGAGGGAAAGGGAGAGAGGGAGAGAGAAACATCGATGTGAGACACATCAACTGGTTGTCTCCCACATGTGCCCTGACCAGGGGCCAGGGATCGAACCTGCAACCCAGGTACATGCCGTTAACCGGGAATCAAACCCATGACCCTTCAGACCACACCCAATACTCTAACCACTGGGGACATCGTTACCTTTTTTTAAAAAATGTGTATCTCCCTTCCATTAGAATAAAATTTCTGTGAGATCAAGTCTGCTTGTTTACTGCCATAGCTCCACAAGTGCCTACACTGTAATCCAAATGCCTACTTGATTGACATCTCCACCTGAATGTCTTAAAGGCAACTGCATATATCCCCTAATAGAATTTACGATCTCCATACCTCCTAAAATATCTGCACCTATCAGCTTATGTTTCTGACGTAAGTGAATAGCAATACCCCACAGTAGCATAAACCAGATATTTAGGGGCCATCCTTGATACTTCCTTTTCCAAGACCTATTGTAAATTTGTCTTTTATATATACTGAACACATCCACTCTGTCCCCCTCTCTTCCAACATCACTACCCCATCCACTGTCTAAATTACCATTTTTCACCTGAATTACCCAACTAGTCTACTCATTTCTCCTCTGGCATCCCTCCAATCCATTTGCTCCATTGCAGCTATATGATCTATTCAAATACAATCTGATTTTATCACTTTCCTATTAATATTCTTTAAATAGCCTGTTCTAGATTCTCTGGCTCCATTTCTCACCACTTCCCCATCCAATTGTCCATCGATTCATTCAATAAATATATACTTAGTACCCACTGACAGGCTGATACAAAATGGACAAAGATCCTGATTTCATGAAGCTTATAATCTAATAGGGGAGGTTATCGCCAAACAAATCAACAAATACTAAGTTATAATCACATAGTAGTAAGTACTAAAATGAAGAATAAAGCAGGGTACATTCATACAATAACTGTTCACCATAGAGCATAATAAAAAACTGTGGACACAGTTTTGGGTTGTCTCAATGATGAGAAGATGCTACTGGGGGACTTAGTGGGTGGAGTCCAGGGATGCTGACTGTCCTGCAATCCAGGACAGTCCCACACACAAAGTGCTGTTCTCATCCCATGACACTTTCCCATTTCCATGTAGGTGAAAACCTGCTTATAATTATCTACATCCTAAGTCTATTCTACATACAAACATAAAGAAGTTTCATGTGATTTTAATATACAGATTTCCCAGGAATGGAACTATCTTATAAAGTGAGGGAAGACTATATACTTTGTTTAGTTTACAACTTTACTAAGTTTGCATTTTTAGTTGTCCCATTAATGATACTATGTGTGTAAGCATCTAACTCCTTCAGTATATCTTTATTAATAGAGTTGTGCCTGGACATTCACATTAAATATATATTGATTTATTATAAATTACTTTCACTTATTTCTTTGTCATTTACAATTAGGATATTCATTTAATTATACATATTGGATGGTAATATGCACTAATTCATTCATTTGAAAAATATTTATTGAGCACCTACTTATTATGTTCTAATCACTATTCTAAGTACATCAGATACACTGGTGGAAAAAAAATATCCAAACATAATTGTAATAAATAAGTAAATGTTTTAGTCTGTTAGAAGAAAAAGTAGACTAGGTAAGATGGGTTGGGAATACTGAATAGAGTGAGTGTATAGGATGCAAAATTAAAAAGGGTGGCCACTAGTCCTCATTGGGAAGGTGAAAGCTGAGCACAGCCCTGAGGTAAATTAGACAGTCAAGTGCAAAAAGGGCAAAGGTCTTAAGCTAGGCACATATATGGGTTTACTGAGGAACATTAAGGAGACCAGTGTGTCCATACTACTTCCTAAATATCTCTTCTATTTCTGTATTGTGATAACTTCTGTTTAAGTCTGTTCAAAGACTAGACTATAAATTCCACTAAGTCAGAGACCATGTTTTCTCCTCTTAACATCATCAAAGCTACACAGAGTACCAGATACACAGCAGACACCTACTAGCTGTATGAAGAAAATAAGTGATGAGGCAACTGATACCTGAAGCTCAGAAAAATAAGATTAGAACTAGAAGCCAGAAAAGAATTTAATGACTGAAAAGATAGCATATTAAAGTCAAAAGAAAACTAAATTGAAATCTAGACAAATCCCAAAGGTAAAAGTATTAAGCTATAATTGTATTTAAAGTAACAAAATAAATTTAAATATTATAAAAATCTCGTAAGTAACTAAATTTGCATTCATTCCATCTGGCTTTTAATAAAATATATTATGCAATGTAATCTACTTGTAGGTTCAGATCCAGATTTCTTACTAAAACACTTTGTCTGCTATAGACTAAATATTCTTGTACTAAAACATATGCATAAAGCTACTAACACAGTGGTAAAGTTGATTTTAACAAATCAGACTTCAAGGCTGATAGAGTTTAAAGACAATTTAGAGACTACCTACTCCAAGTATCTCATCTCAGAGATGACAAGTTGAGGACTAGAGAATTGAAAGGATCTATCAAAGTTCAGAGCACATTAGTGATATACTTGCTAGGTTTAATATTCTGTTATGAGTAGATACCAAAATGATTTATATGACTTTTTAAACGTTAAAAGAAGTACTATGACTACCATAGTACTTCAAGGAAAATGACAGGATCAATGTCTACTGTATTTCTGGGCTAGGTAAAAATAAAATCATTTTTATATTCTGTATTTAAAATAACAGCCAGCCTGAGCATCGACCCATGAACCAGGAGGTCACAGTTCAATTCCCGGTCAGGGTACATGCTGGGATTACGGGCTCAATTCCCAATGTGGGACATGCAGGAGGCTGCCAATCGATGATTCTCTCATCACTGATGTTTCTATCTGTCTCTCCCTTTCCTTTCCTCTCTCTAAAATCAATAAAAAATATTTTTAAAAATTAAAAAAATTTGAAATTCCATTTAAGAAAAATCTAAATGGTCAAAAATATATATATACACACACACCAAGCAACCGGAATGCCGGAACAACTGGAACGACCAGTTGCTTTGATGCGAGCTGCGCCCTGATCAGCCCCCCCACCCTAATCAGGGGCGGGGCCAGCCGACCAACCGCCCGCAGCCCCTCCCCCTAGCTGGCCACGGACCCTCCCCCCCTCGCCAGACCCACCCTCAATCACCCCCCCACCCCATTCGAGGGCGGGGCCAGCCGGTCGAATTCCCACTATCGCCCTCCCCCCACCAGCCCAGCCCCGATAGCTCCAATCAGGGCAGGCTGGCAGGAACCCACCTGAGCACGAATTCATGCACTGAGCCTCTAGTTAATAATAAAAAAAACTAAGAATCTGCTCTGTTTTTTTCCACTTAACAGTAAATATTGGCATTAGTTCCCGGTGTCCCTAAAACAAACACATTCCCCCAAATAATATCAAAAATCCGTATCTAATTATTCTTAAGTTGTCTCATTAATCAAATAAAATTAAGATGAAGGAAATTTCCACTAATAGGACAGGGATTTTTTTTATAATCAATATTTATATGATTACAAACTATACTTTGCACACTTAAAGATAAAGAATTATTAGTCCATTGTTTCAACATATTAAGTCTTGAATCACTAATCTGAAATTAATTAAAGAAAAAAATCTTAGAGCATTAAAACCCCACACCTGAAAGACTTACCATTTTATCTAGATGTTCAATGGATCTATAAATCTCCCCCTGGGATTCATCATAGTAACTGTAACGGAACCTTTGACCTTGAAACAAATATCATGTACAAAATAAAATAGGGAAAAATTAGAAGCTAAAAAGAACGCAATCGCTTACCAAATAATTTCAGTTCTCAAGGAAGGCAAAGCACAGCTTAAGCCTCTGAGAAAATCATTCCCAAGAGCCCTTGGTATATAAAAATAAAAGGCATATTTGGGAAGGTAGTAAAGAAATTATATATCACCAGTGTTTTATAATGTTAAAACTATTTCAAATTGTAAAACCTTATAGCAATACAAAAGACTAAGGAAACAAAACAGCTTAAAAGTTAGAAGCATTGTTAAATATATTATATCAGTCTAAAATGGAGAGTAAACCCAAAGAGTATGATGCAAGAAATTTTGGTTTAAGAAAACTCTCAATGTAACAAGTCAATGAAAGCTTAGCTTTTGCTGTACAAATGAAAGATTTGATCTCTATTACAGAAAAAAAAATAAAGTGTAGATCAGAGATACATGTGGTTTGTGTGATTTTTATTACCTCAAAAAATTTTATCTCATTTTCGCAAAACTTTCTACTTGGAAAAGGATCAATACAAGTGCCTTAAAATAGAATTCACAACACAACAGTCCTAATCTAACAATAAGATCTCAATAAGGGTGCAAGCACAGAACATTCAATGTTTAGCCATCCTCCAGAGGGTAAAATAGAAGAAGCTCAAAAAGAAGACAGAAAACGAAAGACTGAGGAGATAAACTTTGCTTCCTACTAAAGTCAGAAGAAAACCTAAAACAATGTGTTCTAAACCCACATAATTGTGGAGTATTATACTAATTATGTTGCATCTAAATCTTTATTTCAGCAACACTCTTATTTCCAAGAACTCATTACTTTTCTATTTCTTTATTTTAAAAGATTTACAAAAATGCATTTTGGAAAATATCACAGCACACCAATCATGTATGCACACACTATGTGTCTTGTGCTTCATTTTCAGATCAAGTTCACATATCCAATTATTATGCTCACACCTGAGAAGACAGATTTCTTAGACTGGATAATTAAGATTTTTAAGTTTTCTGTTTATCTTGCTAAAAAATATCATGTTATAAATAATGAACGGTGCAAAATTATAAAACCCTTTTGATATCTTTTTTTGAAAAACCAGACATCACATTTCTTAAAACTTAATTGTTGATGCTAATCATCTTTAATGGTCACATCTCTACACTATATATATTTCCTTAACTGTCACATTTTAACTTTTCATATACATTACTATGTACAAGTATTCAATGTGGCAGTTTATTTTCCCCCAAGAGCCATTATTAAATCAATATTGCATCTTACATGATATCCTAGAATCAAGCAACAGGTTCTGAGACAATTGTCTGCTTTCTGTATATAAAAACCTATTTGTAAACACAGATCCACTATAGATCTTGCACTGAAAAAGTTCTTACACAGTGACAGTTCATTACTCAATGCACCTATATTAAGTAATTCATCAGACATTTCTATCAAAATTTAAAAGCATAGATTTTTTTGTCTTTGAAGAATTTATGTATTTCCTTCTCTGAATAATGAAAATTACATAATTTACCCCATTTTTCCTCTTTGCCAGGTGACTGTCAGAAGATTCAAAGACAAATCTACAATCTGCCATAATAATTTATTGATTCAAATCAGTGGTATTACTGAAAGGTCCCAGGTTCGATTCCGGTCAAGGGCATGTATCTGGTTGCGGGCACATCCCTAGTAGGAGATGTGCAGGAGGCAGCTGATCGATGTTTCTCTCTCATCGATGTTTCTAACTCTCTATCTCTCTCCCTTCCTCTCTGTAAAAAATCAATAAAATAGATTTAAAAAAAAAAAAAAAAAGAACTTCTTTCCTTTAAAAAAAAAAAAAAAAAAGACAAATCTACAATCTGCCATAATAATTTATTGATTCAAATCAGTGGTATTAAATGTCCACTTCAATTTCAAGTTCTTTTGACAAAGCTGCCCAAAATCTTTGAGTGAACAATTAAATGAACAGTCTTAGACAAGGAAATTCTGAATCAATATCACTGTAGTAATATCCTTGTAAGAAATTAAGATGAATACCCTTGGAAGCTAAATTGCTTCAGGTATACACTGATGTGTTCTTTTTTCTTGCTTCTGGAGATAGCTACTAGTTTTAGCAGTCAATAATCCCTGTGACCAGGACATAACTGCCTTTTCTGAAAACCAGAGAAAAATTCACAAACTCTGTGATTGCCTTTTGCTATTCAAAACTCTGTTTTGCTTATTTCCAAGTTCAGAGATACTGTTTCAAATGGTAGAAGGTGGCCAAATTTGCCTTAATCCTAAGTGAAAAGTGTAACTGTATTTTAAAATACTATCTTGTCCATTTTATCATTTTAAAGGTAAGTTTCACTTAAAAACTTCTTCTGAAATAAAAGTATATAAAATATTTGAAACTTTAAAATATTAAATCAACATGTAATTTAATAAGACAAAATACACAGAAAATCAATGAGTAAATGTTTAATATTTTGCTACTCTTTAGTAGCCACCTTGCATTTAGTAGTTGAAGAACTGATTAGAAATACTTGATGAGCTCTATTGAATCTATGTGTTAAGGAGCTAAATCCTCACTACATATAGCTACTATATGGAAAAACTCTTACTTATGATAGCTCAAACTATCTCACAATAATTTTTTTAACACGTTAGACACCAAGCCTGTTTTGTCTTCCTTTCCGTTTCAGTCACCGGTGACTGCCATGGCGTTTAACATGTTAATTGTATATATTTAAATATTATTTCAGCGATTCATTCTGGTCAATATACATACAGACAGCATCTAATTTAAAGTGAATAACTGGCCCTGGTCAGTGTGGCTTAGTTGGTTGAGCACTATCCCATGCACCAAGATGTCCCTGGTTCCATTCCTGGTCAGGGCACATGCCCAGTAAGGGGCATGCAGGAGGCAGCTGATCCATATTTCTCTCTCTCCCTCTCCCATCCTCTTTCTCTAAAATCAATAAAAACATATTAAAAACATAAAATAAGTAATTGCCATTATCCTAGCCTGTGTGTGTGTGTGTGTGTGTGTGTGTGTGTGTGTGTGTGTGTGTGTATGAGCATGAACATGCTCATAAACACTCAATTTTAGTTAAACATCACTTGGAACTTGAGTTCAAAAGGTATTTTTTGTTTCTAATTATTAAAAAATAAGTTTATCAAGATTTTATTTAATAAGAAATAAAAGAAATGACAACACTAGCACAATACCCTGATCATAAATGTACCTTTAAATATTTATTGTTGACTTATAATACATTATCATTTCATGTACCTCATGAGCAGACATATTTTGTTTTTACAATTCTGCTAACGTTCAATAAAGCTTATCCCCCTAAACTGCACAAACACAGATGCCTATGCACCTGGAGGACTGGACTTGTGTCCTTTTATCAGTATGAATAAAGCATATCACATAGTAAGAGAAAATTACTTACCTGAAACTTATCCTTTCAGAAGGTACACTGGGAAAATGGATTCTTTGAGCCCCTGTTTCACCTCCAAGTATGAGCTTTCTAGCTTTAAGAGCCATTGGCACTGCCCCTAGGACAGCACAAGCTTTGCAACTCCCCTAGTGAGTATGTCAGTAGTTTCTTCAGGTGCCTTCCCTCAGTTCTTTTCAAATTCAAAAGATGAGAGAAAAAATAACCCAAGAAAAAAATCCTGTAAAGCAGAAACCTTACTCTTTGAGAGAAGGAGGGTAGCTCATTTGTGAATCCATTCCAGAGCACGCTTTCTGAGAAAAAGAAATACAGGTAAGTAATTTTCCCATCTCCAAAGGTGACTGGTGATTAATGAGTGGATTCACAGAGTGTGGAGAATAAGCTCCAGGGATGTCTGTTTAACACACAACAATCAACTAATGAGGACAAACAGAACAATGAATGGTACAAAAATCAATACTACTTTTTAAGTACTTTGAAACAAAAAATAAAAAAGTATCGAATACCTCAACATTAGACTATAAACTGGATTGTGGAATTAAACAATGAGTTTGTAAAGATGATCTAAAAGCCCTCAAAAGATCAGTCAATAAGAGACTTTCAGACATATGTCTAGTAAAAATTATACTGTTATACATTCACTTAATCACTTTATGTTTATATGTTAAAATGTCTTAAAATATTTTAGTTAACCCTCAGAACCTGTGTGGTAGATAAGGACCTAAAACTGGGGACATTCATAATCGAAATCATTATCAAAGAAAACATGTATTTCACAAAGGAATTATATTCTGAGTGGCATCAAATAAGATAATCATTTTTATAAGCAAAATACTTAGTCCTTTCATTCTGAAATCTTAGTTATTATGTAAAAGTATTAACCTTCTCTCAAACTTGCAAAAGATCAAAAACCTAAATATGTGAAATCAGTTATGTATAAATATCAAAGCTAGAGTAGGTACGTCAGGAATTAGCTAACTTACACCCAAACTAAATTAAATATTTATAAAATAGTAATGCCCTCATAACCCAAGAGACTAACAGAAAGGAAGAAGAGTATGCATAAATAATCACTTTTTATACATATTAATGTAGAAATCTGAATAAAGATATACATATTTAGGAGAATACCATTTTTAATAGGTGTCACATATTTATGAAAAAGAAATTATGTAAACCTAGACAAATATAAGAAATTATATAAACGTAGACAAATAAAAATCCAAAATTGCTAAAGTGACAGAAGTAAACTTTATTCATATTTTAACAAAATAATATAATTTATCAGTAATATTTAACAAATAAATCTATTGAAAATGATTTGTATTTAAAACAATCATTAAAGGAAAATTAAATAAAAGCATGGATCCACTTTTAAATAATCCATTTTTCTTAGTTCCAGTTTCACTTAAAAACTTTTTTAAAGTTAACTGAAGAGCTGCCCTAACCGGTTTGGCTCAGTGGATAGAGTGTAGGCCTGTGGACTGAAGGGTCCCAGGTTTGATTCCAGTCAAGGGCATGTACCATGGTTGCGGGCACATCCCCAGTGGGGGGTGTGCAAAAGGCAGCTGATCAATGTTTCTCTCTCATCGATGTTCCTAACTCTCTATCCTTCTCCCTTCCTCTCTGTAAAAAATCAATAAAATATATTTTTAAAAAAATAAAGTTAACTGAAAATTTTGTTAATGAAAGCTGGTAATAATCTAAATTTGGAAATAGATGCCGGACCAGAGTGACTCAGTGGTTGAGTGTTGACCTATGAACTGGGAGGTTATGGTTCGATTCCTGGTCAGGGCACATGCTCAGGTTGGAGCTCCATCCCCGGTGGGGGGGTGTAGGAGGCAACCAATCAATGATTCATATTCTCTCTCACTCTCTCTCTCTCTCTCTCTCTCTCTCTTTCTCTCCCTCCCTCCCTCCCTCCCTCCCTCCCTGAAATCAATAAAAAATATTTATAAATAAACAAACAAACAAATAAATAAATAAAATTGGAAAAAGAAATTTCAGGAAGGTCAGGAAAACACAAATATTAACAGTATATATGGGGAAGAGTAAAAATGAAACTTAGGAAAATGAAATGAAAATTCTACTAATTACATAAACTAAAATTGGTTCAGGCAAAATTCTCTTTATATGGAGCCATCCTATAGAATGTGGAACTTAGTAAGTACACAATGTATGGGCACAACATCATTTAACCAAATACTGGTAGCAAATGTCCTTTCACTTATGTCACTCTTCCTGAAAGTTAACAGGAAAGATGAAAAGGGGTGGGACATTATAAGTATTATGGGGGAAACATCATTCTATTGGGCTAATAAGAAAAAAAGGCAGGAGTTCAAATGCAGGGGTTTTTCAGGGGAATTCAAATGAGGGCATAGAAAGAAGGGACACAACAAAATCTAGGTTCCCCCTCTCTCTTTAGCTCATCTCACCCAAGAAGAAAACTTAAGAGTATTTTAGTCTTTGTACTTTTTGTCTCTCTAATATCTCTTTCAAGTCTGAATAAAGCTAAATGGGATCTGAAATATGAGCATCTTTAAAGCAAAATACACTTTTAAAAAAGGCAGTCACCCCAGTCAGTGTGGCTCAGTGGTTGAGCATCGACCTATGAACCAGGAGGCTACGGCTCGATTCCGGTCAGGGCACATGCCTAGGTTGTGGGCTTGATCCCCAGTAGGGGCTGTGCAGAAGGCAGCCAATCAATGATTCTCTCCCATCGTTGATATTTCCATCTCTCTCTCCCTCTCCCTTCCTCTTTGAAATCAATTTTAAAAAAATTTTTTTAAAGAAAGTCATTCATGTAAATAGACACTGGCTAACAAAAAAATTCAAGGCAAAATTCTTCCAACTATATCTAAGTCTCCCAACTGTCTCTATCACCAAGTTTCTCACTTTATTCTTCACAGAAGCTGGACAATATATAAAGAAAAGTGACTAGAAATGAAAAATGTCATTGTCAGTACTTTAATATATTATTCTACAAAAACAAAACAAAAAATCTGCTATATATGAGTAATTTTATTAACTGTACCATAATCAATTAAGTTATTTTTCTTTAAAAACACAAAACACAGCTATCTAGAAATGTGGAATGTGTCAAGAGCCTAACAAGAAAATTTTTAAAATCTCTAAGTACTTGAGGGACTGAATGCTTCCTGTTGACATTGCTTTGACATGTTAAAATCAAACTGTATAGTATATTTTTAAAAAGAAGAAGAAATCACTATGTATTATCTTCATGACAAAAAGCTAAATTTTTGAGGTGGGACTATAGCACTCATTAATTTAGTAAAAATTACTATGCCACTAAAGCATGAATTTGAGAAATATGAAACCATTTCTAATACAGTTTGACCCACAACCAGCCAATGATTCCTATTACTTCAACAGGCATGTTAAATATAAAATAAATCTTATTTTACAAGAATAACAGTTACTATTACTATTGTAGAAAGGAGACTACCAATTTTGGAACAGTATCCGTGCAACACCTTCAACTTATCCACAAACCTCAATCAAATTTCCTAATTAGAGTTAGTACAGTGTTCTCCCTAAGCACACAGTAAGCACTTAATGAATATAGTTAGTGATAGTAACACTGAAAAAACAAACAACTGGAAAAGTTATTTTTACTTAACCACCAGATGTAAATATAAGTGTATTTTAGTCTCTGTTTAGCTTTCCATAGCTAACATATCACAAGAAAATCCTATCTTACAATTTAAATACCAAAGTTTTCAAGAAATAAGGAGATCAAATGACCTAAATAATTTTCTAATATATAGGTAAAATGTAAAACAAAGTTCATTTTTCTCTCAACACTGTACTTAAATACAGTAGTGCAGTAGGGTTTGTTTACTTTCTAATGCATTAATGAGGTAAAAAGGATGATGCCACAGAAAAGCAAACATGAAGGTGTCCACTGATGTTTATGTGCATTTTATTGCGGTTGCACATGGTGCCAACCTAGAAGAGCTTAGACTGAAAAACTGTACCAATTTCACGAGAACCAATTATTTAAATCATAGAGTGATTTGAAGTGAATCACAAGAGCCTTAAAAGTGAAGGAAGAGGGAGCACATGCTTCAAGAATCTTAAAACATTATTACCAATGCAAATTTACAATACTAAAGAAAAATAACCCTTTTTTCAATATGACATACCTTACTTTTTAAGATAAACTATTACTAAACTTCAGAATTCTCAAGAAACTCTTTTGAAACATTTCCCTAGTCCTCAGATGTAACTAATATATCCATAAAAATAACTTCTGCCAAAGGTAGCCAAAGGAACTTGTTATTAAAGAACCCTGAGAGCTTCTGAGGAAGTTTGTAAAGTAGCACAGCTACCTGCATGCCCTAAACCAGGGCTTTCAACCTCAGCACTACTAATATTGTGTGCAGGATAATTCTTTGAGGTAGGGAGCTTTCCTGTGCATTATAGGATGTTTATTTAGAAGCTTCCCTGAACTATTTTCACTAGATGTCAATAGCATCCCCAGCTCCCACCCCACCCCAGTTGTGATGATCAAAAAAAAAGTCTCTAGACATTTCCAAACGACCCCAGGAGTAATCCCCAGTTGAGAAATTAATGCCTTAAACAAAAATACCATTAGGAAGGATGGTTCTCTTGAACTGAAATCTCAAGGCCATTCATAGCACAAAGTAAGAGAAGAAAATACCAGCCTAAATAGGCCAGATAAATGTTGAATCAACGCTGGCAATCAATGGCTAAGATGTGAAAAGCCAGGGCTCCCTGTATCTCATTGAGGATGTTTTTCTAGCCATTCTAGCAGTCTACCTTAAAATTTCTGGTCATGTGCCTTATGTTTTCTCTATAACCAAAGAAATAACTGAAGGATGAACAGATACTGGCACCCTTAAACCAATGAACACATAAGCTAAGAGATGTCCTACAGGAACAGAATTCAGAGACATTCTGGAACAATAAATGAGAACAAATGTTGTCCCAAGAATGTGAAAAATCAACATTTACTGAAAGAGGCACCTACAAATGTCTCACTTTCTTTATGATCTATTCACTGTGAAGCTTCCTTATTCTTTTAAGTGGCAATCATAAAAAAATCACATAGGAGTCCTTACCAATGAAGACCACAGTGCTAATAGCCAACGTGTTACAATCGTTGGAGGTTAGCTCTAAACTGATGGCAATTATGGGCAAAAATTAAGCATCAAAGGAGAAAAAGAAAGAAAAAAGACCAATTACAAAACAGGAAATGTGGAAAAGGACTGCCAGTGCACACAGTGCTCTTCTATGTTCTAAAAAAGAAAATTAGTTTTATCCACCAAAACACCAATTTCGGGCATCTACCACACAACTCTACCTGGAAATGGGGTTAAAAGATCTTAACTCCCACTAATGTTAAGTGTCTAAGCAAGGATGCCCTCACACTGTGAATCCAATTATACCAGTCGCCTTTGGAAATGTATCCATAATCCACTATTATAATCTGATCCTTTTTAAATGACCAACAGACTTCTTATTCACTTTTAAACATTGCTGCAAAAGGTAAAACTTTCCAAGGAAAGTGATAAAGAACTGAAAATCAGAGCTTAGAATGAAAAGATACCTTTAACCACAGTATATAATAGCTATCATAGGTTAAAATCTAGAACTTACCCCAATGGCAGAAATCAGAAGAAACCACAAAGAGATTACTAGGATCCGCTAGATATTTACTGAAGAGTTTTCCGAATTCCTGTTCTTTTGACTCACTCAGAGCTCCAACCAGTACAGGAATAATGGTAAACTCATCCTTATGGCTTAAAGAAAACAGAAAAAAAAAGTCACTTGAGAAGTATAAGAATAAGAATAAAAATAGTTTCCAATGTGTTTGCACTAAAAAGTGGAACATATATTAATAGTAGTAAAGATAATACACGTATTGTTGAATTCTTAAAATCTATAAATTAAATGTTTAAAGAAGACCATTTAAAAATGAGAGGTACAAAAAATGAGGTACAGAATACTCAAAATATCCATTTAAATTACAGAAATGTACAATACTTCTTTAGGTAACCAAAGCTATTTTACTACCAGGTAGAATAACATCCTTAAAAATAAAAATAAGCCCATCAGACCATCACCAAGTCAAGTCTTCTCAACTACCCATCAAAGCTGGAATCATCTGCCCAATACTTCCACAATTTTAAAAGAACATTAAACTCTTCCTCACCTATTTTAGTCCTTTCCTATTATTAATACCACCATTTCTAACATTTGTTCCATAAACCTGTCAAGTGAGGCCTACAACACTTAATATTGGCTCCCATACGATTCCCCAATTACACTTATACCTATACTAATAAACAGAAACAAGACAGTCTGAAAATACAACTCAATTCTACTGGCATCTAGGGTGACCACAGATTCCAAGAAGCAGGTTTTAATTTCTAACAGCGATAATAAAACACCACACCCACTCACAGTGTTTACAGCACAACCACAAATCCCCTTTTCACTCCACAGATTGACAGATTCATGGAAAAGGAACAGAGCAGATTAATAAAGAAGAACTATGATAGGCTATAGAAATAGATGTTTATCCAAAACCTTTTAAAATGTTCATTATAGTGAAATTTTACTTACATATATTCATTATTATTTATATTCTAAATGATCCTAGATTTGGAATTTTAGAAGCATGAAATCATGTTTGTCTGACTTGTTCTGAACAGGATTTAAGAGGGTGGGGGATCACCATTATAATAATGCTCTTTAATATGAATAGTCTGACACTTTACTGATGTAGGACAAATAAAATTCATAAAAGCTCTTTAAAATACTAAGTTTAAGTATTCCCAAAATAAATGTTATTCCAGCTTCATAAAGCTAAATTCAGGGCACCCAAGCTCCTCCCCCATCATAAAGGCCCCCTTACCCTTGTCAATTGCGAAATAAACAGATCATACAGATCTCCAGTCCCTCTGCAATGCAGGGGCTTCTTTGGCAGAATCTGCATCTATGGAGTAAGAAAAAAGAGGAAGCTGGCAGAGGAAGCTGCCATGGGCTCTTTCTCTATTACCAATTTGCTTAAAAACTGCGTGAGTGAACAGGGGCTCTTCAATAAGTTAAGAATTATCATTTCAAAGAAAAGAACTGAGCTCTAGTGAAAATTCAAGAAGATTATTATAACTTATTCTGTTCTAACTTCAAGTATCACCTACATAAATAAATATACCAAGAAAATCAAAGAGTTTGCAAGTAATTACAACATGGTAGGAAAGCAGTTATATAGACTATAAAAAACAAGAAGTCAGAAGAAATGAGTTCAAGTATTATGTATATCGCATGCAAATGTTGAGAGCGTGGCCAAATTACTAACCTAAAAATGTCCTTATCTGTAAAATGATCATAATTATAATACTAATTTCATAAAACTGTGACAAAGTGAGGAATACTATAAAAGTGCTGTGTCAACAACAGTTGGCTCACTCTGCAGAAACAACACATGTCTACCTTCCACAAGAGCCACCAAAACATTCAATTAACCGGTTTGAGCTCACAAATCTATCTATAGAGGTAAAAGACTCATGCTACTTAGAAATCTAAGCCTTGAATCAAGATTCATCCATCCACCTCTCTTTGTCCTTTCCCTTTTTAAACAACTATATGTTGTTCTCTATTCCCCCAAGCATGAATTAGAGGAAAGAGCATTTGTCTTTGATATATAATATTCTCAGGTTTTAGAATCAATTTGTGAAGTTGGTCTTCCCTAGTAAAGGAGTACAAAAGCAACTTGTAATATAAAACTGAATAAACTGTCAAAGACAACCATTTTGTGCTCTAGAGATCAAACAAAGGCAAGAAACAATATTAGAGTTTATTCATTAAAAAAACAAAACTGAATTTCTTGAGAAGAATAGTGAAAGCCTGGCACCTTAGGAGGAGCAGTCCCCATCCCTCTGCTCTACTCCACAAACATGGCAGTTCTGTTGGCAGTGAGAACTGGCAGAGGTGTTAGGCCGGTGGAAAGAGTCAATAAAAATATTTTTCTTTTTTTTAAATTAAATCTTTATTGTTCAGATTATTACATTAGTTACTCTTTTTTCCCACCATAACTCCCCTCCACCCAGTTCCAACCCCACCCTCTGCCCTCACTCCCCACCCACTGTCCTCATCCATAGGTGCACGATTGTTGTCTAATCTCTTCACTCACCCCCACACCCCTTTCCCGCCCCCCCTCCAAGAATAGTCAGTCCATTCCCTTTCTATGTCCCTGATTCTATTATAATCACCAGTTCATCAGATTATTTATTCACTTGATTTTTAGATTCACTTGTTGATAGATGTGTATTTGTTGTTCATAATTTGTATCTTTACCTTTTTCTTCTTCTTCCTCTTCTTACAGGATACCTTTCAGCATTTCATATAATACTGGTTTGGTGGTGATGAACTCCTTTAGCTTTTTCTTATCTGTGAAGCTCTTTATCTGACCTTCACTTCTGAATGATAGCTTTGCTGGATAAAGTAGTCTTGGTTGTAGGTTCTTGGTATTCATCACTTTGAATATTTCTTGCCATTCCCTTCTGGCCTGCAAAGTTTCTGTTGAGAAATCAGCTGACAGTCGTATGGGTACTCCCTTGTAGGTAACTGATTTTCTTTCTCTTGCTGCTTTTAGGATTCTCTCTTTGTCTTTTGCTCTTGGCATTTTAATTATGATGTGCCTTGGTGTGGTCCTCTTTGGATTCCTTTTGTTTGGGGTTCTCTGCGCTTCTTGGACTTGGAAGTCTATTCCTTTCACCAGGTAGGGGAAGTTTTCTGTCATTATTTCTTCAAATAGGTTTTCAATATCTTGCTCTCTCTCATCTTCTGGCACCCCTATAATTCGGATGTTGGTACGCTTGAAGCTGTCCCAGAGGCTCCTTACACTATCTTCATATTTTCGGATTCTTTTTTCATTTTGCTTTTCCGGTTGGGTGTTTTTTGCTTCTTCGTATTTCAAATCTTTGACTTGATCCTTGCGACCCTCTGGTCTGCTGTTGGGAGTCTGTATAATATTCTTTATTTCAGTCAGTGTATGCTTAATTTCTAGTTGGTCCTTTATCACAACATCGAGGGTCTCATTAGATTTCTTGAGGATCTCACTACATTTATCGGCGGTCTTACCAGTCTTTTCGAGGGCTTCTAAACAGTTCTTTAAAGACCTTAAAAGTGTGGTTTTGAACTCTATATCCAACAGTTTGCTTTCCTCCAATTCTGTCGTTTGTGTCCTGTTTCTTTGTCTCGGCATTTTTTTATGCTTCGCTGTGTCGATAGAGTGCCTTTCTGTGCTAAGTGTCCCAATTACCTAAGGTAGACACTCTTGGTGCACCCCCTTGTGGGCTTTGTGCACAGTCTTGTTGTGGTTAAGCCTTGATTGTTGTAGTTATCACTGTGAGGAATTGACCTCCAGGTCAATTGGCTGTGAGAATCAGCTGTGTCTGCGGGGGGAGAACTTCTGTGCTGGAGACACCCCTCTGGGGCTAGACTTGCTTCGATGGGGCTTTGGTGCTCACTGAGTCTGCCTCCTGAGTGTGTCTTTTATGGTTCCACGGAGCTTAAAGCTGGATGGTCCCACTCTGATCTCTGGGCTTCCTGGCTCCTGGATCTCTAGGGAGGTGCTAATCTAGCCTTTGCCTGAGGCTATCCAGCAAAAGCCTCCCTGCAGGGCTTGGGCGGGGCGGGTCCCACGGGATCAACAGGGCGGGGTTAGCAATTATGGCTGCTCTCAGTCTTGCCCTCAGAGGCTCTGCTTCTCAGTGTCCCAGTAGTCGCTGCAAGTCCCACGGAGAGAAAGCTGCCCTAGGGTTCTGAGCGATGCCAGACAGTCCCACTTCTACCGTATGAGTCTGGGTCCTTAGAGACTCGCCCGGAACTGGAGCTCAGAGCCTGAGACTCCCTCCCGATAGAAAACAACCGCGCCCTCAGCCTCCAGCCCGCTCCACATGCACTCCGAACCTTAGTATTTTACTTCAGCACTGCGCCTCCTCTGAGCCTCGGTATGCTTTTCTCTTTCCTCCTAGTTGTAGAACATCCACTCAGCCAGCTTTCCTGTGGTTCTGGATGATGTCCGTTCCGTCTTTTAGTTGTATTTTTGAAGTGGTTGTTCGAGGCAGCAAACTCCCGTGTTTACCTATGCCGCCATCTTGGTTTTCTCCCATATTTTTTCCAATAAAAATATTTTTCAATATATAAAATATGTATTTTTTTTAAAAGAAAATAAACTGTTTTGCATGCTTACATCTGTAAGCCTACTTTTACCCTAACCTGTATAGGGGTGAGAGATAAGTTTATTTTATGTGTGATTATTTTACAGCTTGAGCAGTATGTCCATGCTCACCAAATAGTACACATTAGAAAAGTGCATTTTGTTGCATGTCAGTTATAAATATACCTAAATAAAGCCTTAAAAAATACTTCCAAATAAAGACCTCGATATCCCTGCCTTGTTAGAAAAGTAAAATGTCAACCCTATATGGGCTCTACCAACCTCGTCAGTTCAGCAACCTCATTGGTACTTGAGTTCTGGCTAGGAAAAGAATTCAAAGCCAAGACTCAAACTCTAAGAGAAAGTTTATTTAGAAAGTCACAGAGGTAGAAGTGAGCCGTAGAGGAAATGGGCTCAGGACACAAGTTACAGAGACAAAAGAAGGGCCCTTGGAACTTAGGAGAGAAAAGGGAAAAGGTAGCATGCCTGGGGGGGAAGAGGTAGCCAGTGTTTTTATTTAATTAGCGGTACATAATTTAAATCTTAAAAGTGATGACATTTTTAACTAGATGA